AATGGCCTGCTTAAGTACTATTGGTACTGTATTCTCTTCTGAATTTGAATTTGTTTTAAGGATTTAAGGATTTCACTTCTCCAAAATGAAAGCTCTGATCACCAAGATACAAAAGCAAAAAACAAAGACTGTAATTAATACCACTTCATTCTCAGTCTGCATTGGTCACTCATTAAGGAACACATTTTATCAAAATATTTTCAAATACGATTGCTCCAAATCATTTAGAATCCTTGAAAAAAAAAATCCATTCTCACTCTCCCACTTGTAAGTGGTAATAGTGAAATATTTTCTGGCAAGAACATAATTTAGTTTCATGTAAAGCTCTTTCATTTAGCTCTTATAATTGGGAAGGGACTCTGTGAAATGTAAGGAGATAATTCTGGAAGATTACACTTCACTTTCAGACAGCGTCTGTGCTTCTGCAGCAATCCGTAACTGTCCTATGTAGCAATAGTGTTTGAGTTACAAGGCTCCAGTCAACTTCTTTGCTGCTATTCAGGACCCTGAATGCAATAACAGAACTATCACAAGCCATGTCAATTTCACATTGCTGCTTGAAAAAGCAATGAGCAGCCTTATATGTAAACAGTGGAATTGTTCAGGAGAAAGGAAGATTTAAAAAGAAACCTTTCCTCCTACTCCCTCTCTCACATGCCAGCAGTCAGGATGCTACTGATGCAGGGTCGGGTGGGGGAAAGGGAAAACAACTTCTTGCAGTAAAAGGAAGAGAGATCTTCCAATTTATCATACACCTACTAATCAAAGGCAAATAAGAGGCAGAGTGCCTAAGCAGAGTACACTAAAAGCATCCTGGTAGAAATCCCACAAACCTTCTTTTCCCCAGGGCTAGGGATAGAGTCGAGCTTCTCACCAATATGTTTGTTTTGGATTCATGGGTAGGACCTAACTTTTTTTTTTTTTGAAGGGGGACATAGAAGATGTTTTTCCCCGCCTAATGTGGGTCTGGGGAATTTTTCAAGCCTTGACCATTTACATCTTCCCTTTTAGAAACTGTCTGTGATTCTGAGTAATGCACAGAATTTCTGTCTTGGAGAGTGGAGACAGAAATGTGTGTCATATCTGCAAAAAAGGTATAATTGCGAGACAGAATCTGTCCACAAATCAAACAGCTCTACCTATGTTTGGCAACAACTGATTAATATTTAGCAAGAGTTGCTAAACTGCTTCTTGGTTTAACACAACAAATGTTATTGTATATTAGAGGGTAAGTGATTGTGTAATTGTTGGAGACACAAAGAGTTGTTCCAAGGAATTCCTTATTTATTTTCAAAGTGCCCCAGATCTCTGATATCAGAAAGGGAAGAGGCAAGAGAAAAGGATTCTAAATTAGAGGAACAAGATTAATCAGATACAAAATTATCCTCCACACGGCCATGCTTCCTTTTGGCACCCCTCTTCTTCTCTGATCAGGCACAGACATCAAATGATTAACACACACAGGCTCTTCTTTCCACCCCATTTGTGACAAGCTGGGAAAGTGTGCAGGAGAGAAAAGTTAGTGGTAGGTACGATCTAGCCAGGGTCAGGCTTCACCGTGGGTTTGAGGTCTGGTCGATTGCCCATCTGTCAACTTGCTATTACACCAGCAACCATTGCCCATGCAGCCAGGTGCACAGACACACCCTCCTGGCCACTGCCCCCTATGCATGCACCTCACCCCCGGCCCCAGCTTGTACACCCGGGTGCGCGCAACGGCGCTCCAACTCCGCACCCCGCCACCCTCTGCCCCGCTCGCTGTCACCTTCTTTCCTCTCCCACCGGTCCACGGTGAAGGAGGCGCCGCGATCCACCTGGGCCAGGGCCCTGCACACCTGGCTCTGGGTCTCCATGATCAGCATCTCCATGAGGCTCAGCATCCCCTGGCGCCGGCTCCGCAGCTCCCGCAGCCCGCT